TGACTTGGAGGAGGATCTGAAGCATAAACTGCATGTCCCCTACTGTGCCGTGTATTTTACCTGCTACCTTTCTTTCTTTCAATAGCCCCTTTAAACTCATTTTACGATGAGAAAGTTAAGAATTTTCCCAGGGTGACTCAGTAAATGGGATCAAGATTTCATTTTGTTTTACTAGATGGTGTGTTTTGGGTTCTCTGCCTGGCGTGGCAGGAGATGTAGCCTTAGATAGAGAGCTGTTATCTGCCTTAAAATTCCCCTCAATTCCTCACTCGTATGCTGCATGCCTCAGCAAGAGGGGGGCAGTGAGGGGACCTCTTGGTTCTGACTGGGCAGGATCCAGACACCAAAAGGAATGGGGATAGGCTCTTGGTTATTTCTAATGAGCCTTGAAATAGCCTTACAATTAAAAAAAACAATATGCTTATTGTGTTAATTTAGGAAAATATAGAAAAAATACAGGAAGAGCAAGCAAATACCCTATATATTATATATAATTATGTAGAAATTAAACAGAGCTAGGTTATTAGTAAATTGTTGTGCTAATTTAGGAAAATATAGAAAAAATACAGGAAGAGCAAGCAAATACCCTATATATTATATATAATTATGTAGAAATTAAACAGAGCTAGGTTATTAGTAAATTGTTGTGCTAATTTAGGAAAATATAGAAAAAATACAGGAAGAGCAAGCAAATACCCTATATATTATATATAATTATGTAGAAATTAAACAGAGCTAGGTTATTAGTAAATTGTTGTGCTAATTTAGGAAAATATAGAAAAAATACAGGAAGAGCAAGCAAATACCCTATATATTATATATAATTATGTAGAAATTAAACAGAGCTAGGTTATTAGTAACTTGTTGTGCACGTTTTTCTACGTCATTAATTTTTCAACACAATTTCTCATGCATTTCTAATATGCCACTAGATGAATATACCATATAATCAATTTCCTATTTCTGGAAATCTGGGTCAGTTTGTTGTGATGAACATTACAGTGAAATTTCTGTGTTCTGAATACCAGACTGAGATTAAAAGCACAATAAATTCAGTTTAAAAAAATAAGAAAGAAAAATATAATGCACACACACACACACAAAAGCTTTATTTTTATCTTTGATAAAATGAAGGTAACAACACCCATTTCAAAGCACTGTCTTGGGTCCGGAGAAGAAGACATATAAAGTTCTTAGCACAGCGCCTTGCACACAGTTAGCNAAAGCCTTTTTATCTTTGATAAAATGAAGGTAACAACACCCATTTCAAAGCACTGTCTTGGGTCCGGAGAAGAAGACATATAAAGTTCTTAGCACAGCGCCTTGCACACAGTTAGCTCTTAATAAACAGTGGCTGCTGGTACCTTACTGTATGTCCGNCAAAAGCTTTATTTTTATCTTTGATAAAATGAAGGTAACAACACCCATTTCAAAGCACTGTCTTGGGTCCGGAGAAGAAGACATATAAAGTTCTTAGCACAGCGCCTTGCACACAGTTAGCTCTTAATAAACAGTGGCTGCTGGTACCTTACTGTATGTCCGATTACTTTCTTAAGTGCCAAGAAGTAGACTATGTCCTCAAGAGACATAGGGAGAACTGTGTGGTTTAACTGTCAGCCTATGTGAAGGGTGGTGGAAAGACCAGGTGAAACGGGCCATGGGGATACCAGCTCGGCCTCGGTGCGGGCTTGTCATGTACGGCAGCCTCGGGTGGGGCGTGGTCGTCAGACTGCTGCTGTCCTGAGCACCACCCCCAGAACCTGGCTCTGTACCCACCAATATACCATGTGGCCCAGCGGCTGCTGAAGGTTAAGGACATGCCCAGAAGAGCCACTGAGAGCCAGGCGACGTCATCCTCTCCCAGGCGCATCCTTGTTGCCTTACTGCTGCCGTAAGGAATGGTGGCTGAGGCGGGTGTGCTAGCTCAGGCGACCACTGCGGCTCCTGGAAAAGGACCCGCTTTAGAGTGTGACGCCCCGAGAGTGGTTCCGACCTGTCATCTTGTTCTGTGCAACGCGCTCCCTAGTATCAGAGTCAGTGATAATTCGGCCTGCGAAAGGCTGAAGCCCGGAGTGCTGAAATGATTTGTTCAAGGCCATAAAACAAGTAAGTGGCAAAGCCAGAACCAAACCCCGGGTCTCCTGGGTCCGCCCCCAGTATTTTTCTGCCTGGACCGTGGTTATTTCCAGCAAATGAAAAGGAGCCTAGGATTAGAGGTCTCGGTTAAGTTGTGCAGATATGTCGGCCTCTTTCCTGAGAGGGTCATCCCTGGACAAACGAAACCGCGGGCTCTTGTCCTGCCCTCGCTCACGCGGACCTTCTCTGCAGGGAACTCTGTCAGTGCCATGGAGAACAGGGAGAGCTTTCATCAGGCGACTCGGACTTCTTTTCTCTCCTGAATTTCATACAAATACTTGAAGCTGGTTTCTGTAGGCCATTCACTGTTTTCTGCACAGAAACTTCTGCAGCCAGTGGCATTTCTCTCACTTCCTTGGGTGCAAAGCAGGGGAAACTGGCCTTTGGCAGCGCAGCCGCTTTCAACACCGGACAGGGAGTGCGAAGAGCCACCAAGACCCCTTCTCCTGCTCAGAGGGTCGTTATCAAATCTGCCGAGACTCTTCCTCTGGGCTGCTCCTGCACTCCCACCTCGCTCCTCTGTCAGCTTAAACTTTAAAATCTTTATTGAGAAAGCGTTTTTATTGAACTTTCGAAGACACTAGTTCATCTGTTACTATGAGAGCCACCTACCACTTGCAGGAAAATGGTAAAATGTCAAGTTGTGGGCTACTGTACAAACGAGAAAGGCTGCCTTGATTTGCCTTATGCTGGGTAACTGTGGGTCTGGTGATTTTGCCGAGTCCCACGGATCCAGCTAGAGGCCCTGGTGGCCGTTCTGTGGCCGGGCCTTGTGTGTTGGGCGGGCCAGCCTGGTGGCTTCTCATGCTTCCAAGGGCACAGTCCAGGCTACCACAGCAGGCCCTGGTCTGTCTGCCACGATCGGGCTTGTGGTCATGAAGGAGGGCGGGAGGTCGGACGGAATAAGGTCACAGACTGGGCCAGGGTGGCAGCCAAGAACATGGGTGTTTTTCAGGCCTGGGTGCATTTCGTGGCTCCGCCATTTACGTAACCTTAGTAAGTGACTTAATCTTCCTAAGCCCAGATTTCCTCACCTGCAAATTGGTGTCAAGAGAAGTCCTTGCCTCACAAGTGTGGGGGGTAATTAAATGAGTGAATGCTTATAAAGCACCTGGCAGATAGTAAGAACTCTTTCGATGTCAGCAGTCAGTTTAATGTTTTTATGCTTTTATTGATATTGACTTCAGGTACTTTTAGAATTGATAAGAGGAAAGAGGTCAGTAGAAAAATGTTTTCCTACCAGGCAGTCATTTCTTCCTTCAGAAAATATCTAGTGAGTACTGACTATGTGGCAGGCATTCTCCAGACCTTGGGAACATGAGAATGAGAAGCTCATAGTGTGTGGAATCCCGGCGGCACAAAGCAGACTGGCACTGACATGGGGTACACCCCACAGTTAAAGTGATATAAAGGGTGTTGTGGCAACAGTTGGCTTGAGAGATGGGCACTGAAAGCCTTCTCAGAAGAGAAACAGGGAGGGGAGTTTGCAGATTGTCGAAGGCATCCCAGGCAGAGGCCTCCGCACAAGACAGGGAGGGGGAGGCAGAGCCTGCTCACAGCATATGGGGAAATGGCCCGAGGGAGAAGACGCATTTCCTCCTGCAAGGAGTTTAGAGACTGGTGGGGAGAGGCGGGCAGGCAAACTAGTGGCATCACGTGAAACTGGGATCAGGTCCTCGCAGGCTGGACTACTGACAGCGACTGCTCTTCTCAGCCAGAGGGCTGAAGAAAACAGTGGAGGGAGGGCGGCACAACCCAAGACTTGCAGATTTGCGAGTTAACCAGTTGGAGGAAAGTGGGGGGAGAAGGGAAAACATTCCATCAAGTGTACAGAATGGAAAAGGCAGGGAGGTTTATGAGTGGGCAGGGGTCACGGGAGGCAAAAGGAGCCTGTAAGCAGGGCTGGAGTAAGGAAGGCCCGGGGAGAGGCGGCGAGGCCGAGGTACACGCGCCTGCGCTCACTCCCGGGTGTGCGTGGCACCCTCAGCGGCCCTGCTGGTACCCCAGGCCCAGTCCTGAGGCGGCCCGGCGCAGCCCCGGCCAGTGTCCGTGGGCCCTGGGGACTGATTGGCGTGCGATGCAGACACGACATTAAGAAAACAGACTCACATGGTGAACAACTATATATTTTTCAATTCTGATTCCAAGGGATATCTCAGCTCAGCTCATGGAGGGATGTTCACTCCCTCTCAAACACTTGCTAATCTGTCTTTTTAACAGAGAGCTAAGGCCTTCGTCTCAGAACTGTGGTGGGCAAGAGTGTATAACTAGAATTAAGTAAGATTGTTTTGTTTCCTATCTTTTTTTTTTTTAAATTATTGGATATTTTCTGTTCATGGCAAATGATACTAGTATTTCATTTATGGAAGTCATATAAAATTTTGTTTAAAATCTCTTTGAGTTCAAGTAAATGAGTTATTTTAAAGAAAAATACTTAAATACAGTAGAGTACAGATGCAGATATAGCAAAACTAAGGAGTTGATAAAGGAAGCTGCTGGAGCTCAGGAAGCGCAGTCCTTGCCACTGTGAAGCTGTTGGAATCCGGAATGAAGGAAGGGGGGAAGGAAGGGAAGGA